GATCGGAGCAAAATGCAAGTGAGCTCATTCTTCAATTTCCGACGTCCTGATCCAGCGTCTGTGGGCCAACACGCTTCCAATCAAGCAATTCCAAGTCGAGCAAGATGATGTTCAGCAAGACAATCTGTGCGCTGTGTGCGGCGGCTGTGGCGCTCTCGGCTAGTGCAGTGGACGCGTCTACCGAGGTGGCGCAGACGTACGGGCGTCTGCACCAGAACCACGACGGGTATGGCAAGAACGACGGCTACGACAAGCGCGACGCATACGGCAATCGGAACGTCTACGGCAAGAACAACGGGTACGGCAAGCGAGACGGGTATGGCCAACAAGACAGTGATGACTCGCTCGATAGCTACGATACGCGTGGGGCGTATGGCAAGCAGAATGGCTATCGCAACAACGACGACTATGGCAAGCGTGTCGGGTACGGCGGCGCGGCGGTGGGTATCAACGCCGCCGCGGGGCTCCAAGCTGGCGCAGGTGTGGGTGCCAGAGGCTACGGCAGAGCTGGCGTCGGACTCAATGCGGGTGCTAGCTTAAACACTGGTGCTGGTCTCAACGCTGGAGCGGGACTGAATGCCGGTGCCGGACTCAACGCCGGTGCCGGTCTCGAGGCTGTAGCGGGACTGAATGCCGGTGCCGGACTCAACGCTGGTGCGGGACTCAACGCCGGTGCAGCTCTCAACGCTGGGGCGGGACTCAACGCAGGTGCAGGAGTCAAGACTGGTGCGGGAATCAACGCCGGTGCCGGTCTCAACGCTAGAGCGGGACTGAATGCCGGTGCCGGTCTCAACGCTGGAGCGGGAATCAACGCAGGTGCCGGTCTCAAGGCTGGAGCGGGCCTCAACGCTGGTGCAGGTCTTAGCGCTGGTGCGGGACTGAACGCAGGTGTGGGTGGAAACTCTGCCGGCAAGGCTTACGGAGGATACTCCAAGCCTGGCGCCTACCGCCACTTGCGCGCGTAAATACCCGGACCCTTGGATTACCGAAGCTGATGAATCTGCACTTGTGGATCGCCATTCGTTGCAACCAACCACACTCGGACGATGCGCCGAGATCTAACTTGCACGAGATACGTGTCGTCGTAGTAGCTGTCATGTATATAGGATTACTCCACGCTGTGTAGAAGCCGCTGAATCCAAACAAGAGCTTATTTTGTTGTACGCGTTGGTGTCCCTCCTGCATCCTCGACCATCAAAAATGTGTAGCCGTCTCTGATGTTGAAGTGGCTGACCAATAAGGTAAAAGTAGTTGGAGCGGTATCTGCTTCGTCGAGGTAAAACGGCTTGCATACTATTTATTGCTTTAGATCGAGTAGAGCACGAAGACTACACGTGTACTCGAGACAATTAGAACTGCGGGCATTCACACTAGCATACTTATCAAGAAAAAATATTTACCGGTA